AAGTCGTTTCATGTGCGGTTTAGCACTGTTAAGTTCACTCCTCAAAGTAACAGGTTCTATATTATGGCAGAAGATTCTTCGTCCTAAATTTCTGATTCAAAATTGGGAAAAACTTCCAAGTCATAAAAGATAAAGATATTTACCAGTATTCCAGTTAAATGTATAATATAAATGGAAAAATACAAGTAATCATTGAGTCACCTTTTCCAGATGTCTCAGAGAAAACCTCTGACTACAATGCCCATGGAAAATCATCTTAATTCCAGAAAGCGGGGGCTGAGGGGACACACTGTTGAGAGGGTGAGTCATGGAAAATCATGGTGGTGATGATTGGTGGCCGGCGCCCCGTCTCAGTTCCCCTCAGGAGAGGGCGCCCGCCGGTGCGGACCGCGAAGCGGCGTCCAGGACAAGGGCGATTGGGCTCCGCGGCCCCAGCGTCCGCCCAGCGCGCCCTCCCGCGCTGCCTCGTCCCGGTTCGGCCCAGGTTCCCCGTCTCCAGTCGCCGGCGTCGTGAGGCTCGCGTGAATCCCCAACGCCCGCGCCGCGCTATGGCTGCCGGGTAGCTCTGAGAGGTTCCAGGCAGCCCAAGGGCGGGATCCTCACGGCGCAGGCGCGCGCCTCTGCCACAGCCAGGAGAGGAGCGCGGCGCCAGCAGCTACAGGTAACCGTTAGTGGAGGAGCCCCGCCCCCACGGCCGCCAGGCCCGCTCCTCCCACTCCGCCTCCGAAGCTGGAAGCTGAGAGAACCCAGGGCTCGGGCTCCACCTCCCAAGCCTGTCGCAGAGCGTGGCAAGTCCGCTTTCGGGAAGACTAGATCCTCAGACCGACATGCCTGTGGCCCAGGTGGGATTTCCAGGACAGGCCACTCACCAAGAAGCCAGACGACCAACTTCCCTTCTCTTCGGGCTAAGGTAGACACAATTGCTTCACTTTTAGTTTTAGTGACATTAAACATGCTCTGGGAAAGGACGTCCCGTTTCTGAGTCAGCAGTCCCGCCTTTTCCACTTCTAAAGAGGGAATCGTGAATTCCCTGGAGTGCTATAAAAGTTAGGCCTAAATAAGATGATAGAACTTCGCATCAGACTTTTGAATCTTTTGGTAACTTTAGTAAGGGTTTGCTGCTTGGTGGCGAGAATTCCTGGCTCATTCAAAGAAAGCTTTACCAAAGGAGAATCAACCTGGAGAAGGGTTAAACACCGTCACACAAGTGACAAATCCGAGGGGACTTTGCATTAGTAAAGAAAAACGAGGCGCAGGCCCTTAGATGCTGTAAAGGTGACACCGTCAGCTGTACTGGCCACTCCAGAAAATATCAAAAACACATGTGGTTTCTGATTTCTTCTTACATTTTTGACTAAACATCCTGGCTTACAACATTTTATGTAACATCTGGAAATGGAGTGAGCTGGCTATAGCAGTATGTGCATTAAAATATATCTAATGCATGCTAATAGTGTATTTTTATGAAATTTCAGCCCTAGAGACAATAGTAGGAAACTTAAGATGTAAACTTGTGAAACATTCCATCATAAAACTGATTAAGTTGAAAAAGGGAAGTAGTATAAAAAGGAAATAGAGTAATAAGTGCCAAAATACACTCTGATGCACTTGTCCCTTTTTCGTATGTCTTCCCACTATTGTTATTTTTCCAGTCAGTTAATTTCTCCTCTGCTTTTCCTTCATTTTCCTAAGTTGTTCTTCACTTTCTACCCCTCTCCCTGCTCCACTTTTCGAACCCTGTGGCAGTGAATCAACTATGTGATCCCAGCTCTCACAACTGCTGCTGGGAGGGTGTGGATACGTTACAGCTCCTAGCTCACTTTCTCACTTGTACAGCGGAACTGACCACACCCTCCTCCCAAGGTTATTATGGGGTGGAGCAAGTCACCGATCTGGGAAGTGCTCATTTATTCTTATCAGAAGATGGGAAGCCCCTACTATGAACTGGACACTGGTATCAGGACCCAGGAGCACAGTTCCTGTGCTCAGAGATCGCATAACCTCATGGGAACAGCAACCAGAGAAGAATTTCATGAGGATGAGTTCCATGCACTATCCTCACTCCGGGCCTCTTCCTTTTCCTTCTCTTTTACTTTGCATCTTAATGCTCAAGGCTAATGCCAAAAAAAAAAAAAAAAAAAAAGGTGAAGTAGGGAAAGGCTTTCTAGAGCATCTCAAACTTCTTTATGTCAACTTTACCTCCCTCTCCTGATGGACTCTGCTCTTTTCTCCACCCCATCCTCAATTCTGTGGAGTTCAGTAAATGTTAACTGCACAGTCCTTGTGCAGGCACTCTACCGGGTGCTGAGAAATCAAATAACGTAATTTCAGTGTAAAAGTGAGAGTACTGAAATCAAGGGAACCTATCTAAGTCATCTCTTGCTGCCAAAAGCCCAGATACTGTTTTCCATCAACAGGACTTTCCTAGGCCTCCACCATGGCTTTATGCCCCAGCAGGACAGAGCTGCCCTCCTTGTTGATTTTACATTTCTAATGAAATCTGGATTTTTTTTTTTTTCTTTTTCTTTTATGTCCCCATTATTTATATTCCCAAGCACACTGCAGAGCTCAGCTCCCAGCCAGATTGAGCTGCCATGTGACCTTGTTGGTTCTTCTTCCCACCTGGGCCCTGCTGTAGTTCCTCAACATCCTTCCTGCTCATGGAAAAGGTCTCACCCCAAAGTGGCCCTGGGATTCCCTCTTGCACATTTTCGTGTGTGTGTGTGTGTGTGTGTGTGTTTACAAACTGAACTGATTTACTCCCACCTCTTTAGATCTCCTTTAGAAAGGAGAACACAGACTGGGTGGCTGTGAGCAGCAATTACCATTCTCCATGGCCTTGGTAGGGCCCCTTGAGCCCTGCTTGCTTCTTCACACAGGAAGGAAACTAAAGAACTTTCTTGACAACCAGTACCTCTCCCAAGCATATTTGTGTTTTCACACAGGATTTTAATTTCTACCACTGTGGGAGGCACTAGGTTCATAATTTGAAAAAGTTAGTCCCCGTGCTGTCTCTGAAATTATATCCACAAAGATAGTTGTTCATTTTAAGTGGCAATTAAGATGGTGAGAAATTCAAAATTGTGCCTAACAACAAGAACAGTAATAATAGCAACACCATCTATTAACTGAGTTTTAGTAGGGATCAAACATTCTTATTTAATCTTCAGTGCTTTATAAACACTATCTTACTGAATCTTCACTGACATCCTATGAGACATTTGTATTCCTATTTCACAGGGGTCTGTTGGGTGCACAGAAATCATGTCTTTCAAAGACCACCAGGTGGAGAGGCCATGGCGAGGCCCCTGGACTCAAGTGGAAAGAAGAGGAGCAAATGTGTTCCCAAGCCCATGTTGAGACATCACCATTCCAAGGACACCCAGAAATAGCTGGGGAGGAATTTAAGGAGACAAGAGAAACATGGGGTTGAGATCTTGTCAAGCAAGTGAAGATTTGGAGACATGGAGCTATGCATGCGAATATGCATTGACATTCATGAACTTATTTACACTCATGAACTCCTGAAACCTAGGAGGGGTTGAAAAATTGCAAATCCTCTTGCTCCTTCTCCACACCCAGGCTCCACTTCTAAGTTATTGCCAACTGCTCATGGCTGAAAGCCCGCATTCACTTCCATCCTTCATCAGCCATGTCAGGCTCTAGTTTTCGTGGCCCTCCAACTGCCCACCTACTCTTCCCTGCCTGAGTTGGTTTTCAGACACTTGGACTTCACTGATCTGCCTGTTCTTCTGAACACTGGACACTGCTCTCCCATCTGAATTTTTGATACTCCCATTGTGTTATCATCAAAAACATATATTTGGGCCAGATGTAGTGGCTCGCACCTGTAATTGTAACAGTTTGGGAAGCTGATGCGGGAGGAATCCTTGATGCCAGGAGTGTAAGACCAGCCTGGACAACAAAGGGAGACCCCATCTCTACAAAAAATGAAAAAAATTACCCAGGTATGAATGCATGCCCTTAGTCCCAGCTACTTGGGAGGCTGAAGCAGGAGGATCACTTGAGCTCTGGCATGACCCTGTCTCAAAAGTTAAGGTCAACATGTTTATCTATTTGATCTTTGCCCTTGATTCCTGGTAAAAAGGCACCTGACATTCTTGGAATTTCCTGAGTGATAGGAGTTTCTTTCATTATTCATAAAGAGCCCCTTTTGAAGCTGTATTTTTCAAAAAAGAAAATAATAATGTCTTTTGAAGTCCAATTATTCTCATTGATCAAATATACGAAAAGGTTTAGAACAAAATTATTTGATTATTTTATTCTTTCAAAAGTCTTGTACCTACCATGCATAAAGTGACCTCAGTGCTCACTTCTGTAACTCATATGCTAACATTGAAATAATACAGAGAAGATGAGCATGGCTCTGTACATGGACAAAGTGGCCTCAGAACACAAAAAGAGATGCACTCTCTAAGTTATGAAAAATAATGTGTTTAGCATATTTTGTTCTTGTTGCCCCTTATTAAATTCTTAAAATGTATTTGGAATGATTATTTAATAATAGCTAATACAATATCCTACTGACCAATAAAGTTGAACTATGAGCACATGCAGGAATTGCTTATTTTCAACATAAAACTATAATGAAGGACATTACTATGTAAGTGTGAAGTGTTTGGCAGGAAACTGGACATTTTATTAAAAATGAAGAAAATCATCATAACCTGGATAAATAAGTGGTAAATATTTAATAGTTTATTTTTCTGAATCCCTGGGAATAAGTGTAAGACATAAAATAGAGACTTTGTGGTGAGAGACTTTGTGGTGAGGATCACAATATACAACCATCCACAGCTCTCTTTTCAATAGTGTATGCGACCAAATACACATATAAACATTTTACTTAGTTACACATAAAAAAGGAAAAAGTCCCTTATGAAGAGAAAATAAGTGAATAGTAATATAGCTCATGTGAAATTTAGAACTATGGGTTTGACTAAGTAGAAGCTGAATAGCTACATGTCTTATAATGAATTCCTTGCATATCATGTCCACAGGAATCACAATTTTCCCGAGAGAAGTTTCCTCAGAGCCTCTTTCACATCCTTGTTCCTTAAAGTATAGATGATAGGATTTAAAGTGGGGGTCACCATGGTGTAGAAGAGGGAGATAAACTTCCCTTGGTCCTGGGCATAGCTTTCACTGGGTTGCAGGTACATGTAGATTATGGTGCCATAGAAAACAATCACCACTGTAAGGTGGGAGGAGCAGGTGCTGAAAGCTTTGTGCCTTGCCTCTACTGATTTGATCCTCAGCACGGCTTGAGTTATGAAGCCATAGGAGATAAGGATGAGTGCTGGTGGAATGACAAGAAACAGAACACTAACAACAAAAAGCACCAATTCATTGACAGTGGCATCCACACAAGCCAACTTGAGGAGAGCTGGTACTTCGCAAATAAAATGATCCAGCCTATGGTTGCCACAGAGAGGCAATTGCAAGGTAAAAGTTGCATGGATCAGGGAATTGGCCAAACCACTAAGCCAGGAGATAGATGCCAGCTGTTGGCATAGCCGTGGGTTCATGATGACTACATAGTGGAGGGGTTTGCAGACAGCAACGTACCGATCCAAGGCCATGACGGCCAAGAGGATACATTCAGTGGAGCCCAGTGCCAGAGAAATATAGAGCTGTGCCACACAACCACCGTAAGTGATGGTCTTTGGTCCTCGCAGGTTAACTAAGATCTGAGGAGCAAGGCTAGTAGTGAAGCAGATGTCCAGTAAAGAGAGGTTGCTGAGAAAGAAGTACATCGGGGTGTGAAGAAGGGGATCCCGACATGAGATGATGATTATGGTGAAGTTTCCCACAAGGGTCAGGAGATAGAAGAAAAGGACAAATACAAAGAAAACAGCCTCCAGACGAGGGTGGTCTGAGAAGCCTAGAAGGATGAAATCCATTAGGGAACTCTCATTGGCCAATCCCATCCCTCCAGGGGGAACTGCACCTAAGACAGGGATGGAACGGGTACATCCAAAACAATTAAATTTAGAATCACAGAATACACGAGCCGAGAGGATCATGGAGACCAACTTTCCCAAACTGTTCATTTTTCATCCCTAATGTGCTGCTGACTTGGAACATCAATCCATGTTTCCTCATTCCAGTTCAAGGCTCATCTTTAAAAATTATGAATGGTTTCAACTTTGGAGTTGTCTGGGGACTGATTATTAAAGCCAGTCAAAGTGCATATTTACATGCATATCGAAAATTCCACAATGACCTACCACTAAAAATAAATTTCTCTCAAAACAGAGTGAACAATATCTCCATGATTTTCAACTGTCAACAAGTAATCTGCATATGAAATACCTTACTGAGATTTGGTTGTAAGCACAATCAGATGAGGAAGTCTTTTTAGATAAAACTAAATAAAACAAAGACTTTAAAACCTTTAAAATGGGTATGGTTGGTATGAAAGAGATAGAAAATCATTTCTGACATGCGTCACATTGGTACTAACTGGAGGAAAATGAAAAGACATATTTAAGGAACCAAAATACATGATATAAATTCAAATCATCTCATACAAGTTTATTCAATGACTGAACTACCAAAAAATAAAAATTATTTTTAAAATTTTTTATTTATTTAGGCATTATTTAACCAAGTTGGCTAACAGTCCTTACTAGTGAAGAAAAATATATATACTCAAAAGAATATATATTATTAATAAGAGTTAAAGATGCATTGCGGTATTCTTATAATTATAAAATTTGTTTGAAGGAACCCTTGGATAAATCTATTAAAACTCCTTAACATTTCAGCTGGGTGCTGTGGCTCATGCCTTTAATCTCAGCACTTTGGGAGGCTGAGGCAGGTGGATCACTTGAGGTCAGGAGTTCAAGACCAGCCTGGCCAACATGGTGAAACCCCATCTCTAATAAAAATACAAAAATTAGCCAAGCGTGGTGGTGCACACCTGTAGTCGCAGCTACTCAGGAGGCAGAGGCAGGAGAATTGCTTGAACCTGGGAGGCAGACGGTTGCAGTGAGTCAAGATCACACTGCTGCACTCCAGCCTGGGAGACAAAGTGAGTGAGATTCCATCTCAAAAAATAAAAATGAAAATAAATAAAATTCCTTAACTTTCAAAATGTCAAAAACACAAAACAAAGTATAAACAAAAATGAAAATAACTTACAAGACTGTTTAAGAAAACTCAAAGTCATCTGGAGAACATTGGAAGAGGATGTGTGAATGATTCACTTGTCTTTGTAAGAAGATTCAAAAAGAAATACTTTGCAAATTATGCATCTGACAAGGGACTAATATCCAGAATCTACAAGGAACTCAAGGAAATCAGCAAGAAAAACCAAATAATCCTATCAAAAACTGGGCAAATGACATGAAGAGACATTTCTCAAAATAAGATATACAAATGACCAACAAACAAACTTTTTTAAATGTTCAACATCACTAATAATCAGGGAAATGCAAATTAAAACCACAGTGAGATTCTACCCTACCCCAGCCAGCATGACCTTTATTACAAAGTCAAAAAAACAATAGATGTTGGCATGAATGTGGTGAAAAGGGAATGTTTATCCACCGCTGGTGGGAATGTAAATTAGTATAACCTCTATAGAAAACAGTATGGAGATTTTTCAAAAAACTAAAAGTAGATCTAAAATTCAATCCAGCAATCCCACTACTGGGTATCTACCCAAAGGAAAAGACGTCATCATATCAAAAAGACGCGCATGTGTGTATGTTTATCACAGCTCAATGCACGACTGCAAGGATCTGTAACCAACCTAAGTGCCCTTCAACCGATGAGTGGATAAAGTAAATGGGGTATATGTCATGGAATACAACTAAACCATGAAAAAGAATGAAATAATGCCTCTCACAGCAACTTGGATGGAGCTGGAGGTCACTATTCTAAGTTCAGAATGGCTAATACCGTAGGTGCTCACTGACAAGTGGGAGCTGAGCTGTGGGTATGCACAGGCACACACAGTGGTATGATGGACGTTGGAAACTGAAAAGGTGAGAGAGTGGGAGGGGAATAGGGGATTTAAAAAACTAGATATTAAGTACAGTGTACACTACTCAGGTGATAGGTGCACTGAAATCTCAGAATTCACCACTAGGCAGTTCATCCAGGTAACCAAAAACTACTTGTACCCTCGAAGCTATTGAAATTTTAAAATATAGTTTATTTGTTTTGTTTTGTTTTCTTTACTTATTCATTTATTTTTAATTGACAAATTAAAATTGTATATAATTATCATGTACAGCAAGATAAATACTGTGTTTTAAAAACATAGTTTTTTTTTCCTGGGCCTTTTTCATTTAATATGCTTCAAAATGTGAGGTAGGTAGTAGTGTTCTAATTCCACAGATGAAAAATGTTTAAAATACATGCCCCAAATTACTCAATTTGTAAATTTATGGGGCAGATTAAGCCCAATCCAGAGTTAGCCTTAATATTTCCCTAGAGGCAGCTCATATACTTGATTCCATAAACACCTTTGGCACCTAGGACATGTGTATTTAATTTTCTTGTGCAAAAGAGTAAATGGAGTTGCCTGTGGCCGCGCCAACTGTCTTTCCACTACTTCAGCCAACTAAAGTTACTGCTGTGTCCCCAGGACCTAGCAAAGGGTCTGACCCACAGTTGGGCTCAGTAAATACTATGGAATGAATGAGTCAGTATTTAATCAGAAAGCTGATCACATGATACCACTATTATCATGGATTTTTAAATTATACTTTAAGTTCTAGGGTACATGTGCACAAAGTACAGCTTTGTTACATAGGTATACATGTGCCATGTTGGTTTGCTGCACCCATCAACTCGTCATTTACATTAGGCATTTCTCCTAACGCTATCCCTCCTCCAGTCCTCCACCCCCCAACAAGCCCCTGAGTGTGATGTTCCCCTCCCTGTGTCCATGTGTTCTCATTGTTCAACTCCCACTTATAAGAGAGAACATGCGGTGCTTGGTTTTCTATCCTTGTGACAGTTTGCTAAGAATGATGGTTTTCAGCTTCATCCATGTCCCTGCAAAGGACATGAACTCATCCTTTTTATGGCTGCATAGTATTCCATGGTGTATATGTGCCACATTTTCTTTATCCAGTCTATTAATGATAGACATTTGGGTTGGTTCAAAGTCTTTGCTATTGTGAATAGTGCCGCAATAAACATACAGGTGCATGTGTCTTTATAGTAGCATGATTTACAATCCTCAAAACTTGTGCTCTCAAAGCTATTGAAATTTTAAAATACAGTTTTTTGTTTGTTTTGTTTTTCTTTACTTACTTTGTTTTTATTTCTTTATGTATTCATTTATTTGTAACTGACAAATTAAAATTGTATATATTTATCATGTACAACAAGATAAATACTGTTTTTTTAAGTGTAGTTTAAAAAAAAAAAGATTCAAAATGGTGAGTGCTGAAGGTATGCTTAGAAAATAAAATGCTTGGAGTCAAACCGTAGAAATCACTGGGTGAAATAAAGTTCTTAGCTTTGCTGTGCAGGCAGTGAGATGTTGTTAAAGGCTCTGAGCACACAAGAGTAATATTTTCTGTTTCCATTTTGGAAATATTGGTGCATTGATAGGAAGATGGGTAGGGAGGATATTGATGTGAGGGAGTTCAGGTAGGGATAGTTCCATAGTTCTCATGATATTAACTAGGTTCATGTCATGTGAATAGCCTGAGAATTACCAAAAATGACAACATGAACTGAATGAAAGTCAATGGGAAAAAAATTAATGGAATGAAAATGACAAAATTAACCTAATACTGACTTTTTAATGGAAAGGGAGGTAAACTGAGGATATAAGATGATTTCGTGCTTTTCTTTCAAACAAGCAAAGTAGGGATATGTGAAATAACAGGACAATTCCTATTCTGATGAATTGTTTTATGACTTACCAAGACTCCCAATTCAAAAGGTGTTTCAGAATCTCATCAGCCAAGGTTATTCTTCCTGCTTGTTGTAAAATGATAGCATAAAATTTGAATAAGGTGTTTGTGTCTAATGTGCATATTTACATTCCCTTCAGAGCCAGCTGTGGGTTCCTTCCTCCCACCGGAGGCAGAGGGAACATTTGCAGAATGTCTTTAGAAATGCCAGTTTGTGCTAAACTCAGACACTTTTCTTTTACGATTTTAGACAGTTCTAATTTATATTTCTCCCTATAATTGAGAATCTTTGCATTAAACATGGCAAAATAAATAATAAATAGGAAAAGATAGATATTAGTACAAGTTCAGAGAAGAGAATGATCACAAACACATTTAGAGAAGAGGGCAGAAAGCAAGCTGAGCCCTTACATCCAGCTATGCTGTGTGTGTGTGTGTGTGTGTGTTTACCTTTTATTTTAAGTTCAGGCATACATGTGCAGGTGTGTTACACAGGTGAACTTGTGTCACGGGGCTTTGTTGTAAGATTATTTTGTCACCCAGGTATCAAGCCTAGTACTAATCAGTTATTTTTCCTATTCCTTTCCCCCTTTCACCCTCCACTCTCTGGGAGGCCCGAATGTGTGTGGTTCCCCTCTATGTGTCCATGTGTTCTCATCATTTACCTCCCACTTACAAGTGATGACATGTGGTATTTGGTTTTCTGCTTCTGCATTAGTTTGCTAAGCATAATGGAGCTATGACTTTTCTTATGCTGCTTCCCATGACAGTGATAATCTTCTCCAACTCCCTTTACCAGGCAGTTATCTACACACTTTTAAGGCTCAGTACTTCTCACGAACATACTAAGTCCTCTTTGACTCTGATGAGCACCCTCTCTCATACATCCCTCCACCCAGCCTTGTGAGGCTTATTTTGTGTTTATTCCTACCCTAAACTTACCTCTATAATAAAAAGCTCCAATACCATACTGACCTAATGTTTTATGACTGTATATATCTACTAAATCATAACCTACTTCTTAAAGTGAGGGGTCACGTTCTACCGATATTTTATGGAATTTATATGATATCAAATGCACACGAATGTGTCAATAAATGCTTGATGAAGAAATGAATGCATTTTTTTATGTGTCCTATTTCCTAGTCAGACTATGTTGAATCTTTCTGGACGGAAGATACTGGGAAAAGAAGTGGTTAATATTGGTGGATCAGCTGACCTAAAGAGAGAGCTGAGCTATAAGGCGTCAGAGGAGCATAAAGCAGCAAGGAACCAAAATGAAAGCTACAGTGAAGCCTCTAATCACTGACTATGATAATGTATTTCGGTGTATAAAACTGGAAGAAGCATCA